TTTTTGCATGAAAGGCAAGAAAGCGGCCTGTACGAACCAGGTGAGTCTAGACTCCCGTAGCCGGAGGTCTTTGGGCTGCAATCTGCACACCGTTGACCCCTAGCCTCTAGACTCTCAGAGTCTAGAGAGGGTTTGACCATCTGTCCCTCCCCAGGAAGAAGGAAGGGCCTGAAAAGGGCCACCCCTGGTCTGTGGGACCCTTGACCTCTGCTTAGCTGTGGGAGCGTGTCTCCTCCTCAGTCTTTGCCGTGTGGTTGTGAAGGTTAAGTCAGTTTGTCACGTGCTCAGTACAGTGCCTGACACAGACTACGTTTTTAGTTGCATTCTGTTATTAATTACTCCAAGGACACCCCTCTTTCCCTAACCATCCCCTGTCTGAGTGTCTTCTCTCTGTGGAGATCTAAGCCCCTTTTTGCTCACTCCTGCCTCCCAGAAGTCTTCTCCAGGCCTCCTGTGACTCCATTAGGCTGCAGCCTTCATCTTGGTTTCCCAGGGAGGGCATTAAGGGAAGGACTGGCCAGAACGTGTGAGCATGTGCACTGAGGGCTCAGAGTGAAGAAAAAGACTCCCCTCCTGGCCCCTCAGCTCCGCCTCTTCTCTTCCACTTCCCTCAAAAAAACACCCGACTCATTCATTAGGAGCCCCAACAGCCAGGCCCTGGCTGAAGCCCTGGTGAAGCAGCAATTAGATCATTAGCACCGGCCCCAACCCACCTGCTTAGAGCCCCTCAAACACCTTTTAATTATAATCCCTTAATCTCCCTCAGATGGCAGGGCTGGCTCTAGGGCTTTTGCCCAGCACAGCCCCTTTCCTTCTCTCTCTTTCCCCAATTAAGGGGTTCTCTTGGTAGAGAGCCCCTATCCCAGCTAGAGGCCTCTCAGCCCCGGGAGGAGCAAGATCTGTTGCTTTGTCTCTTTTTCCAGGGACAGTGACCCCGGGTAGCCATGCAGGTCCACCTGGAGGCTCCTCTGCAGGCAGAGCTGAAATCCCCGCCACCGCCTGCCTCTTGGCTGGGGGACAATTGCTGAGATGCCTGAAGACCCTTTGTCTTCCCATTGGTCTCCTCCTGTCCCGGGGTCTTTGTGTTCTCTGGGAAGCATCTCCCACTGACCCTTCACAATGACTTTTCTGACAGCCGACCCGGGCCACCCTGTCTGAGCCAATGGCCTCTTTGGCATCTCCTTCCAAGAGCCACCAGCAAGTTCTGTCACAGGTGGAATTGAGGCCAGATCCCTGGCAGAAGGTCTCCTGGTGACAGCCCTATTTTGACCTCCAGCTGACCTTAGTAGGGGTCAGCCTTGCCCTCCTGCCCCCCCAGGTCCACTCAGGGTCCCAGGCACCCTCAGCCACATTGAGGCTGGCAGAACATCGGAACGGTCTATATCCCTGGAGCTTCAAGCGGGGCAGAGGCAGGGGGAGGGACAAGATGACCCAGCATGTGGCCCTGTCTGAAGCTGAGCCTGGATGAACCTCTTTCCTGGGAAAGTTCTGTCACTAATTGACTTGCAAATGCCTTGTTTGTCCCCAGATTCATAATTAGTGCTAAGTATTTCTAGGGCCCCATCCTGGAGGGGCTTTTTTTGGGGGCAGCCTGTTCCTCTCCTCCTCTCTGAGGTTGGCCGGGCTGGGGGTGGGCAGAGCCGGGCACCGGTGCCCAGCTGCCATCCAGCGTTCCCACGGCTCTGGTGCCAGCGTGTGAAAGGCGAGGTGCGGGGGGCGCGGGGGCTGGGGCTCCCCGCCATCCTTCAGCCGGGACCTCGGCCAAACCCCGAGGCTCCAGGAAACGACAGAGCTGGGGAGCGGGCTGTGGCAGCGGGTGGGAGCTGGCTTGCACCCCCAGGAAGGAGAGCCCAGCCGGTGCCGGGGGCTGGCATCAGCCGAGCCTCCGGCACGATGAATGGGCCAACAAGGGGCCTCTCTTCCCCACGGCTTCTCCACAAAGGCCTTGGCTACACCATTGGATGTGGGGGGCCGGGGGCCACCGGAGGAAGAGGAGAGGCTATTCTCAGAGACCCTTCCACCCCTAGCCTCAGCACTCCTACGAAGGGGCCATGGGCTGGGGGCCGAGGGGTCAGAGTTCAGGTCCAGTTTCTACTTGGATCTGCTAAGTGAGTGAGCAACTGTTTCAACCTCTCTGGGTCTCAGTTTCCCCACTGGATCGTCCCTGGCATCTTTCCCAGCCCTCATGGTCCCCTCTTGGTTGCTGCCCACCCAGGTTCCCCAGTAGCCTCCCCTGACACTGCACTGGCAATTCTCTGATCGCTGCAGGCCCTACCTTGGCTGAGACCCAACCGGACCTCCCCTCAGGGTACATCAGGCCCCTGCTTGGGGCACAGCTCTCCCAACCCTGGTGCCCCTCCTCCACTCCCCTCAGGTTGGAAGAGCTGTTCGGTGTCTGCCAGGAAGCAGTGGGAAGGGTCTAAGCTGTGGCTGCCTGCCGTAGAGTCGGACAGGCCAGGGCCCGGCCACTTGCAAACGGTGTGATGTGGGCGAGTCTCTCTGCCTCTCCAGGCGTCATCTGTAAAAGGCCTCACAGGGTTATCACCGGGATCCAGTGGGACTGAGTGGAAGGCGTTCTGTGCGGGACCTGGCAGGGAGCGGATGCTCAGTCGAAGCTCCTCTCCTCCTCTTCCCCAGCCTCCCTCTCAAAGCTTTCCGTCAGTTTGCCTGTGTTTCCCTGTGGCTGAGATGTCCTTTCATGATTCACCCCCATCCTTTTCACCTGGCCCTCTCAAGCAGCCCCTCTGTATTCCCTATTTGATCTCCAGTTCTTTTCCCAGAACTAGCCATTTTTTGGGTAAGTCCTTCCTGAAGTCTGACCTTCTATTGCAGGTTGCCTCTCCCCGGGCCTGGCCTTTTCCCAGACTGCCCTGCAGCTGGAGCCCAGAGGGAAAGGGAGGAGGTGGGCTCTATGGTAACCCTGAGAAGAGAATGCCCTCTCTCCTCATCTGCATACAGACGGGCTCATTTGCATACAGACAGGCCTCATCTGCATATGCTCAGTGGGACTCTGAGAGCACATTCCAAAGTGTCCTGCCTGGGTCCTCCCACCCCAGTCCTGGCATCTCTGTCCAGGGAGGGGCCCTACCCCGCCCCTTCTGCCCCTGTCTGGGTCTGGGTCATTCTGTTTCCAAAAGGCAGCCCACCCTCTGGGGCCCTCTCCTGCTTGCTGTCGACCCTGCCCCGCTTTTCTTTACTACGCTTGCTCAGAAGAATCCTTTCTACCCACCTCCTCCTGCCTGCCCTGCTCCCCTACCCAAGCCAGAGGCCAGGAGAGGAGGCAGAGGGCTGGCCACGGTGGCTGGCTGACTCTCCCTGCTCAGGCCCCCCAACACTGTGGTAAGGGGACTATGAAGACTGATGCTCAGGTTGTGGGGTACAAACAAAAGCGGGGGGAGGGGTGGGCAGACCTTGGAAGCTTCCTCCCTACCGATGACCTCAAGCCAGATCTTGCCTCCAGTCACCCCACCTCCCAAGGGCCACAGTGGGTCCTGTCAAGACTAGGAGGTGGGAGGGCCCCGAAATGAGGGCTGGAATCTCAGAAGCACTGATGAACACCCAGGTGTGGTGAGACGGCTCAGCCCCACTGACACGGCAGACCATGATGCAAAGGGAACTGCCTCCTCCTCCCAGCAGCGTCCTCCGTCTGTCAGCCCTCTGAGTCCCAGCTCCGGGGCTCCTGGACGTACAGGTCAGGGGAACCCTGGGATTCTTCTTCCAGTGGACTCCCACCATCCAGAGGACCCTGGACATAGCCCTTCTCCTCTCTGGCCTCAGTTTCCTCTATAAAATGAGGAGCTGGGCTAGACCAGGTGGCTCATGACGTGATCCATCCTCCTGGAAATAGTGCCCAGGCACCTGGCCAGCATTCTGCATGCAATTTTAGAATTTGCAAGCATCCCCTGAGGTCCAGATTGACCTCGGGCTAGGAGGCCTGGTCTACAACTAAAAAGGCTGAAGTCAGTGTTTAAAAGGAAGGGAAGAATTTATACATATGTGCTTGGTTGTCTATAGAGGAACCCAGGGAGGACGTAAGTACCAGTTGTTGCCTCTTGGGAGAGGAGGTGGGTGGCTGTGGCAGGGGTAGGAAGATGTAATTTCCCTTTTGTGCCGTTAGAATTATGTCATGTGCATTATCTTAAGCTTTTTCATTCAGAAAATTTCTAGGATTCAAAGCGTAGTTCTGTGGAGACATTACGGAAGGGAGGAAGGACTTTCTTGAGGGTGATGGAGAGCTTAAATGGTGCCAGTAGTCTGGACTCTGCTAACATCCCCCAGCAAGGCTCTCTAGAGATGAGGAGAGGCCTATCTTTTGGGGGAGCATGTTGGATACAGATGTGTTATGGAGAAAATGGGATCAGGAGCACAGTCCTAGTTTTTTGCTGTGGCTTTCCTGCCCTCTCAAGTTCCCCCTCAGACCTTGCTATTGTTGGGAAGTCCTACCTGCTGTCTAATCTGAATCCTCTTAATAGTTATATTCATTCTCTTATGTTTCCACTGAGGGTGGACAGAGAAGCAGCAGGAACGGATGACTCTTTGGGGCAGGGGTGCTCCCTTTATGTGGTCTGTTCAAATCCAGGAGGACGTTTCTGTGAGTCCTTTAGTGGAGGAGACAGAAGGCCACTCAGTGACCTCCTACACAGGCACTCTGGGGGAGTGTGACCACCCTCTCCCATTCTTCTGGTCCCTCGTATGGCAGCTAGGTGCTTCCTTGGCTGGAAGCATTAGCGCATGACTTAGACTTGGGACTGACCAGATTATGGACAGCGTTCTCAGGAACCTGGGGGTGGCTGAGGGTGGTGGAAGAGGCCAGGATGTTCACCCATGCATGGCTCCACCCCCTACCAGGTAGGAGTTCTGGTATTAGAGGCTCCCCTGCTTCTGTTGCAAGGTTGGTTTCTGTATCACGGATCTCTGTAGAAGGAAGTCCCAGTATGGCCCCCTCTCTTTCAGCCCTTCCCCTTCCAACCCTGTACAGGTACATCCACCACCACTACTAATGTGATTCAATATTCAAGAGTCTTTATTGAAGACTTGAGATGGGACTTCCATCTCAGAGAATGTGGGACTCCCAGCTCAAATGATACAGGATAAACTGGGATGGGCCCAGATGGACAGGTTGAGAATCTGAGAGCCATGGGTCAAAATCCTATCCCAGATGGCTCCAGGTATAACGGGCTGTCCGGGCTGGAAGCTGCGTCTTCCCCACTTCCATTCTGCTCAAAGCTTCTTGAAGGAGCCGGTTTGACGTCGACTTGCTAGAGCCTAGCCTCATCTTTCGGTCAGTTGGGAAGACTTCTCAGAGGGAATCCAAGTGGATGGAGTCAGTTTTCTTTTTGGTCTGAAAAGAAAAATTATCAAGTGTAAAGAAAAATACCTTTTTTTTTTTTTTTTTGAGTTGGAGTCTCATTCTGTCGCCTAGGCTGGAGTGGATCTCAGCTCACTGCAACCTCTGCCTCCCAGGTTCAAGCAATTCTCGTACCTCAGCCTCTGACTAGCTGGGATTACAGGCATGCGACACCATGCCCGGCTAAATTTTGTATTTTTAGTAGAGATGGGGTTTTGCCACGTTGGCCAGGCTGCTCTCGAACTCCTGACCTCCTAAAGTGTAGGGATTACAGGTGTGAGCCACCGCGCCCAGCCAAAAAATACTCTTTGGATGGAGACTTTAGGAGGAGGCAGAGATCAAACTTCCGGCAGTCTTGGAAGAAGCTCGCTTCCATCAGGCAAGGTGAGGAGCTAGGGATGGAGTAATCACAAAGGGATCCACCATGACAGTGGCTTGAGTCTTGGCACCTCTTCTAGGTGCTCTATCCAAGGCAATGGGGGCTGGGGGCATACCTAGGGCAGAAACTCAGACCCCAAGAGTTTAGGGAGAGATTAGGCAGGGAGCCCAGCGGCTTGCTTCAGGAAGGCAGGGAGCAGGCTGCACGTGGGCTGAGGACCAGTCCGGAAGAATTGTGCTCACTTCCACAGCTCCCATGGCCTCTCCCCAATCCTGTCTTCAACCTTCAAGTGTTTATCATCCCTTAGACTTTACCCCTACATCTGAGAACATGCCAAGAATTCCACCTGCCTATCTGGTCCTCTCTTCTCTCAGTCCCTCCATTTGTGTTTCAGAAGTCAGCACAGGGGAGGAAGGGGACATAGGCTTTGGGGTCTACGAAGCCCCACTTGAAGCCCAGCCCAACTTACCAGACCTGTGACTCTGGGAGGTGTCTTAGCCTTCCTGAGGCTTCGATTCCTCCTTCATAAAGTGGGGACAGGCCGGGCACGGTGGCTCATGCTTGTAATCCCAGCACTTTGGGAGGCTGAGGCGGGTGGATCACGAGGTCGAGAGATCAAGACCATCCTGGTCAACATGGTGAACGTCTCTGCTAAAAATACAAAAAATTAGCTGGGCATGGTGGTGCGTGCCTGTAATCCCAGCTACTCAGGAGGCTGAGGCAGGAGAATTGCTTGAATCCAGGAGGCGAAGGTTGCGGTGAGCCGAGATTGCGCCATTGCACTCCAGCCTGGGTAACAAGAGCGAAACTCTGTCTCAAAAAAAAAAAAAAAGAAAAAAAAGAAAAGAAAAGAAAAAAAAAAGAAAGTGGGGACAGTATCACCTGGTTTTCAGGGCCGTTGGGAAGATTGGCTGAGACAGTGGCTACGAAAGGGCTTACACAACCAGATGGGTGCAAATCAGGGTCAGCTCCTTCCTTCCCGGGGCGGGGAAGCTATGTCCAGGAAAGGCAAATAAACAGGAATCAGGTGTCAGGCACAGCTTGTGGGAACAGCCTTTCTTTCCTGTCCCATCCAGGGTTGGGAGCCAGCAGCTTTGGAAACCCCGAAGTTCACCTCCCTTGGCTTCTCCAAGCGCCTTAGGATCTGAGAAGAGAATTTCAGAAAGCGGAGGCGATCTCAGCCCCGGGCCTGCACGGCCCAGCCCCACTTAGACCAGTGTTGCCCTCCTTCTTCCTAGGCTCTGCTCAGCCTCTCCCAGCTCACTTCCCTCCTCCCTGCCCCAGCTCCTCCTCCCCCTACCTTTGCCAGATCTCCAACCTGGACCTTGACGGTATGGAGGAGTGCGGATGAGAGGCCCGCCTTGTCCATCCTATCAGGAGCCCCTCAGATGTAAGGACTCTGTCTTCCCCAAACCCGGTCTCTGCCAGGCTTGTTGCCCTGACTCCCTCTGGCCCTCTTCCTGGCCAGGGCTGGCTCCCAGGTCTCGAGGTGGGCCAGCTGTTCCTCAGCCCCTCTAAGTCTGCCAGGGTCTCTCCTCCCACACTCTCTTGCCCATTGCTTGCTCTAGATCCTCAGCCCACCTGGGAGCACTGCTGTCCCTTGAGTGGCTAGATTTGGGGGAACGACAGAAGAGACTGGTGTCTGTCAGCGCTTGGGAAGCGGCGGTGGGTCGGGGAGGAGGGGTACAGATGGGATGGCCTCCTGCCTGTTACACCCTCCCAGCCCCAGACAGAGCCAGGCTCTCCTAGCAAGGATACAGTAGCAGAGGGCTGGGAAGAAAGTGGGGCGGGGCAACAATGATATCATAAATTACCCCCGGCCCCTCCCTCCCAGCCCGTCCTTCTTCAGTTGGGAAGGGCCTCCTTTTTCTCTCCACCTGCTCCTCACTCAGGATTCCCTCAGCAAAGCTGGCCTCTGCTTAGTGCCTCTTATAGATGCCCTTCGAGGTCAAGGTGACCATTCTCTGCCTTCGGCTCCAGAAGGAAGGGACTCTCCCTCTCCCAGGATCTCTCTGAGACCCCGTTACAACGTTCGCCCCAAGGCAGGAGCTGGGAGACTGGCTCCCAAAGGGAGTACCCAGAGGACCCGGGAGACTATCCCTATTCTATAGTTTCCAGCTCTTGACTCTTTCCGGGGTGTTGATGGGGGCATGGGAGGGAAATTTCAAAGCATTCCGTGGCATTTATTGCTCTCCTGTAAACAAAAGCTTTCGGTGGGGGCTCCAAAATCTTTAAGGGATGCTCAGACCTCTCACCAAGCGAGCCAGTTCTCAGTTTCCCTGTTCTAATAGCTGGAGTCCGGGAACCTTTATGAAGTAATGGAAGGTAGGTGGTATTCCTTCCTTACCTCTCAACTCAGCCAGGCCAAGCCAAGGGCGGAAGAGCTGGTGCTATAGCCGTGTAGATCTTGGTTAGATATTGAGAAGGACTTCCCAAGACGAGAATACACAAGATCATGGAGTTTCCTGGTTGGAGAGAGGAAAAGTCTGTCTTAGTTGCAGGAAACTGGATGGGAACCTCTTGAATTCTATCTCATTAATTCTTTCTTAGCCGCATTAAATAACATGTAGAGAGTGTCTGGCACAGAGCCTGACACATAGTAATCCTCCACTGTGGCTATTTTAAAAAATCATATGTTATTATGAATTTTATTGGATGGGTATCAGGAGGAAGGGATAAATCCCCGGAGACCCATCTCCCACCCTCTAGGAACCCCATGGGAAAATCCAGATAGGAGCTAGTGTGCTGAGTACAATATGGCAGCCAATTGTCATGGCAACAACAGAAGAAAGAGGCTGGTTGGTTGTGGGGGCGGTGCTGGGAAGCCAGCTGGTGCCAGATGGACAAACCCAGCAGAAGGCATCCCCAGCCGGGTGAAGCTGATGCCCCGTGCCCAGGGCTTAACCTCCATATGCCAGCCTCAGCCTGGTCCTTCCCTCCAGGCCTAAAGGCCCCATTGCTGTCTGTGGGGGATGATGCCAAAACCATTCCTCCTCCTGACTCTTGCTTGTATAACAAGGAATGACTGCTTGGAGACAAAAGACTGTCCTGCTCAAGGTCCCCCTGACCCATGGGCTGACGGATCTGAGTAGGTCTGAATTACGCTCACTCCTGATGATGCCATGACATCGGGGACTTGAGCGGTCCCGAGTGGCAGGATTCGGAGGCACCATTGTGTGCCCTCAGTGGAGATTCCACAGTGGCTTGTGCTGCCTGGAGGACGAGATGAGGGCTGCAGGGAGGAAGCAGGGCAGGTTGGGGCAACGTGGTTGAGCTGCCCCCTACCTGTCCCCTCCTCCTGGTATGCTGGGCGGCATGTGCACCTGGCCAGCAGATGAAAGAAGCTGCCGTCAGTGGAGTTCACTACCTAACTGTAAATAGCGGGTCCCTCTTGAAACCGCTTCAGCAAGATGCTTACCTCCTTGAGACCACGAAAGCCCCAGCCACAGAGCCCAGCCACATTTCTCAGTCAGGCTTCCGCTACGCACTGCACCCAGTGATCCGTGGCCCTCGCAGCTCAGGAAGACATCTTCGATTGCCCCCAGCTGCCTCCATGGCCCCTAGAACCGTGTCCCTCTGCACTTAGCATTTAACACTAAACATCTGCACACAGCCTTAGTAAACACTCATTCGCATCACCCCATGTGACCTTCAGCATAACCAAGGAAGGCAGTTGAGAGTCCAAAGACATGAAGGGACTTGCCTAAGGTCACCCAGCACGTGAGTGGGGGAAGCCAGAATTTGCATCCTGACCAGCCTGTCCAATTCCAGAGTCAAAAACCAGAAGTTCCTTCTTTTGCTGTCCTTCAATGGACAAAGCTCCACTGAGTATCACACCCGGTAGCAAGCTGAGGTGGTGTCCCCCAGCATTCTACTGCGTCACGCACCCCGAACCCAAACATTCACTAGAAGGGCTGGCGCGGGCCAGGCACGGTGGCTCACGCCTGTAGTAATCCCAGCACTTTGGGAGGCCCAGGCGGGCAGATCACTTGAGGTTGGAAATTTGAGACCAGCCTGACCAACAGGGGGAAACCTGTCTCTACTAAAACTACAAAAATTAGCCGGGCGTGGTGGCAGGTGCCTGTAATCCCAGCTACTCCGGAGGCTGAGGCAGGAGAATCGCTTGAACCTGGGAGGCGGAGGTTGTGGTCAGCGGAGATCACACCAGTGCACTCTAGCTTGGGTGACACCGCAAGACTGTCTTCAAAAAGGGCCAACGTGCCCAACAAGGGCTTGGGGTGGAGGGACTGGTGCGGGGGTAAGGGGACGGTCTCTACATATTGCTGATTAGCAGTGACGCTGAGGCCAGGCCAGGAGAGGAGCCTCTCTGGGGGAAGGTAAGAGTGGGTGTGGAAACTGGGGTGGCCTGGGACTCCCTTCTAGCTCTGGTCGATCTTGTTTTCCATCCTCCCAACACAGCCATCCCTGGAGCGGGAGCGGGAGGGAGACCCCAAGCTGGGAAGATGAGAGAAGCTCAAGCGGGCTCGGTCCCAAGAGCGTCAGGAGAGAGCATGTATGAGCTGGGAAGGAGACTGCAGAGGCCTGGCAGAATCGGGAGTTACAGCTTGGAAGACATGGCGAGGAGGCAGGGGCAGGTCAGGGCCTGGGTGCTGGGGCCCTGGATGATGGGGAGGAACCCATCCTGGGACAGCTGGACCAGACCAGGGACGGCCTCACCGTGAGACCCTGGCCTGGCTTCAGCTTCTCTCTACTTCCTGCCCAGACCTGGTTAAAGCCTGAGGCCGCCTCTCAGCCCTTCCCCGCTCCAGCCCCATTCTGCCCCACTCCCTGGGAGCTAAGCCCCCTCACCTGACAGGGCCACTTCCACAGCCACTCACAGAGGAGTCTTTGTGCACAAGCCGGGCCTGGGGGATGGGCGGTGGTGGGCACCCCCACTCACATTCTGCCCAGCGGCCAGCAGCAGCCTCTCCATCTTCCCACCTGCCTCTCCAGCCTCTCATCCCCTTTCTCGAGGAAGAATTCCTTCTGAGCCTTGATCCTGGCTACTACCTCACCCCAACTCCCTCCCTCAGGAGGGCTCCAGGGCTCAGCCCCTTCTCTGCTGCTTTGCTCCGGCCTCCTCAGCCACACAGCCCTGACTACTGAACCTTTTTTTTTTTTTTTTTTTTTTTTTTTTTTTCATAAGAGAACTCAGAGACTAGCTTGTTGCCCCACAAAGTCAGAGCAGTATCCCTGTCCCCCACCCCCAGAGGCCCCTCGCCTGCCCTGATCTCAGGGAGTCCACTGTGCTGGGAGACACCAACCTCTGCTTCTCCACATCTCTCCCCAGAGAGCTGCCACAAGCCTGCTGTCCCTGGATGTTGGGTGCGGGGGGAAGGAGAGCTTCTGAAGGGGGGTGGTAGAAAGATCTCGTCCTCAGGTGGCTTCCAGGTCTTTCAGATGTCCTTCATGTGTTTGGAACTAGCAGAGAGCCAGTTAAAGGTCTGGCTGGGCTCAGTGGGCAGCCAGATGCAGGAGTCCCCTTCCCTCCCAGGAGAGGTTATGTGTTGGTCTCCAGCCACGCCCTACTGCGGCTGTCAGCTAACTGCCGCGGCCTCTCTGGTATAGCACATAAGGCGCTTTACAGGGGACCTCCTGCCTCTGTTTCCCTTTTCCTCCCAGCACAGACTCCCTGCAATGGTCATGCTAGTCCCCAGACACACCCTGCTCTTCCTTACCTCCCTGCCTTCTCGAATGCTGTGGACAGTCCACCACCTGCCTCCCTCTGCAGACTGCCAAACACCTGCTTATCTTGTATGGTTTATCTCTTGGCATCCTCCAGGAAGCCTTCCTGAGCTCCCCGAGGTGGCCCCCAGCTCCCTTCCCCGTGCTCCCACAGCACTGTGTGCAGGTCTTCAGGACAATGCTTTCCATACCGTCTTCGAATCATTCGTGCATCTGCCTCGCCCAGGAGACTGCCAGCTCTTCAAAGCAGCGTCGTAGTCGACGCTGCCCTTGAGCGTAGCTCCTGGCACACAGGAGGCCCTCAGTGCCTGCTGAATGAATGGGCTGACATGGAGGCAGGGGTACTGGAGGGAAGGGTATGGATGAGAGACGTGCCACACAGGAAGAAGTGATGGGTTTTCATGTGACTGATGTGAATTGTGGGGACGAGTCCAGGAAAATGTTCAGGAGTTGAACCCGAGGGCCTAGGAATTTAATGAGGCTGCCTACATAGGTAAGGCGGCAGAAGCACAATTCGTTGGGAGCATCTGAACTGCCCTCCTGGGTTTTGGTGGGAGGCTGTACTTCGCTGCCATTACAGAAGCTACAAATACAGGTACTTTCTGGGCCCTCCTTGCAGTTAGAGCCTAGGCCTGTGATCCATGCTTGACCAAGCGGAAGCACCGTCCCAGTCCCTGATCTGGGGACAAATGGCAGGACCACAGGTGGTAGTTGGCCGCTGGGAGTGCAAATCTGGGGTTTAGGAGAGGTCAAGACTAAAGAAACGAGGGAGAGAGGCTGGGTGCAGTGGCTCATGCCTGTAATCCCGGCATTCTGGGAGGCTGAGACGGGTGGATCACCACAGCCTCTCAAAATGGGAGAATGGGTGAAACCCTGTCTCTACTAAAAATACAAAAATTAGCTGGGCATGGCTGCACGCCTGTAATCCCAGCTACTCAGGAGGCTGAGGCAGGAAAATCGCTTGAACCTGGGAAGCTGAGGTTGCAGTGAGCTGAGATTGAGCCATTGCTGTCTCTCACTCCGGCCTGGGTAAAAGACCAAGACTCCGTTTCAAAAAAAGAAAGAAAAGAAAGAAAAAAAGAAGGAAGCAGGAAAGAAGGAGAGAGAATTTCTCACTTCAGGTGATGGTTGAACTGATAAAAGTGAAGTGAGGAGAGTGAGGAGGAAAAAAGCACCCCCAGCAGAATCTGGGCCCCACTCTAGTTAAGGAACTGGCACATTCAGAGGACTGACTGAATGGAACCAAGAATCATCATGGATAGAACAGAAGAAGCAAAGGCCAAAGGAGAAGACTGAGAAAACAGCATAACATCTTCCACAGACGGCAAGGAGGTCTGGGCTTGGGAAGGGCCAGTGGTCTTTGTTGAGGAGGCTGTGAGTGGCCTCTGAGAGGGTGCAGGTTTATCAGAGGAAACCAGAGTGCTGGGCTGAGGGAAAAGGTGGAGCATCACCTCAAGTAGCAGTCACCTTTCACAGGCCCCAGAGAGACCCTCAAGCTGGCGGATGATACTGCCTGCCCACATCTTACCCCCTCCCTCCTGCTGCTGATACTCCCCATTCTGATTCCTCCAGTACTTTTCACACTACCCACAGTGCTCTAAGTCCTCTGGGAACTAAGCCTAGTACTGAGGCCTCTCTACCACTCCTGCTCCTGTGCTCAACCTTACATCTCTTCTGCGGGCCGCCATTGGTCTCTCCCTCCCTCCTTCTCTCCCCATCCTCTCTTCCTAATTCCATTAGCAGGAAAATTCAACAATATTTCTCATCAGCCAGGAAGTCCTTCCTACGGCCTCAGTCTTTTCCATGTCCACCACCCAGGGCAGGCTCTCCGCGCACACCGGGGCAGCCATCTTACAGGCGCCATCTTAAGATGGCCACCTAAGATGGCGGCCTCCCTCACCCTCCGCTTCCGTTCCCACAGCCCTGCCTCCTACCCCTGCCTCTTTCTTTCTGAAGCCTGAGCCCAACAAGGTGGGGGGCCGGGCTGGGGAGCCAAGGCCGGAGGAAGCAAGACAAAAAAGGACAGAAAAGCCGGCCCCTTGGCATCTCTCTTTGGCATTTGAGTCCAGCTCAGGGAGGGAGGGCAGAAAGGAAGAAAGAAAGTAGTGTAAGTTTTTATTTCTGTCCTCTTCCTGCCACCTCCCCCTGGTCCCTCCCCCCACACTTTGATGAAAACAAAATATCTCCCCTTTTCTCTCTTCTCCAGCCCCCCTCCCCTTTTTTTCCTGGCTTCTACCATGAGCCTCCTGGAATGCAAATGAACTGTATTATGCAAATATATGCAAATCAGGCTTAACGAGCGGAAGGAGGGGGCAGAATGCCTAATGAGTAATGGCGGAGGGTGCAGATGGAGGGTGGCAGGAATGGCCCCCTCCTCTTCTCCGTTCCCACAGCCTGGAGGTTTGCTGGAGGTAGCTGGGTGTCCCTCACGTCTGGGAAAGAGTAGAAGGTCAAGGCCCCACTGCTTCAGCCAGAAGGCCTGGGATGTCCTTGGCTGTGGTAGGTGAGGGGCAGGCGAGCTTGGGAAGAGAGGGGGTTAAGTATAAGGGGCCGGTGCTCACTTGCATAACCTTGCCCAGAGACACTGCATGCACCAGCCTCCTTGCCTATGTGGCCTGCTGATAGCAGAACCCTCGGCTCCCAGTGCTGAAAAGAGGGTGATGCTTATGCATGCCATGGCTTGTGCATCAGAAAGGAGGATTCTCAAGGGAAGATTCCCAGCCAGACCAGGTTCTTCCTGGGGGTGGGGGTGAAAGCTGTCTCTTTTTGTACTTTGGGGGTTAGGGGGGCGGTTGCCATGGCGACAAAGCATGGAACACCCACCTCCCCAACATCCAGCCCCAGAGGACCTAGGAGTTTGGGGGGGGGATAATGGATTGACACCCCCTGATGCCCCCACCACCTGGCACTGCCAGCCGGAGATGGCAGCATCAAATCCTAGAGAAAATGGCCCCTTTGTTTCTAGGTTCACGGTGTTGGGGGAGCAGGCCTGGGCACACAGAAGGGCCTTTCCCAGGCCCCATTCCAGTTTGCATGACTCCTGCTGGCCTCTGGAGACTCCTTGTGGCCATCCACTGGCCTCTGTGCCCTGGCAGATGGTTGCCCGCTTGCCTTTTCTCCCATGGGCTTTCCAGCTACTGCTAGGTATGCCTTCCCTGTCCCTGAGGCCTTCCCTCCAAACCACCTCAGACAGAGGTAGCAGCCTGTTCCACCTTTTCCTGGCTTTTTTGAACACCTCGCATGCCCAGTCATGCATCTTGTCCTCTTTTGTATGGAGGCAATCTGCAAACTCCTCCAACCAGCACCAGGCCCGTCCACCCAACCCAGACAGAGAGACTCCTAAAGGAAGTAAGAGACAGATAGAAAGGGCCAGGCTGAAATTCAGGAGCCTGGATCTTGGCATTTCTGATAACCAGCTGGGCAACCTGACCACACCCCTTCTACTCTGGTGGGATCTGTAAAATGAGGAATATAGGGCTGATGATACCTAAAGCTCATTTCAGCTCTACGTGATCTATACCCTCCATATCTTACATGACCGAAGTTAAATCATTATTGAAATACAACCTTCATTCTTTCTACTACTGGATCAGCCCTTCTCATTCAGACTCCCCAACATGAAGAGAAACCCAACTGCACCGAGACAGGAATACCAACTTCCCTCAGCCTTTACCTCTCCCTGAGACTCCACAGCAGACTGCAAACAACCCCCACAGATTCAAAAATGTAGAGTCTTTGATAGCTGACTGTACAGACAGGAGGGTCCCTCCTAACAATCTCAAAGTGGGTCAGCACAGCCATCTCACTCACCGCCCGGGAGCTGTCCGTGGTGCTGGCTGTGGCTCTGTCATCCACACGGAGGAAGGAGGGCGGTAGGGTGGTGGAGAACCCACCCGCCCCGGCTGAGAAGCTAAAGGGAAGAGAAGCAGCAGAAACATTTGGAAACAGTAAGAAATGGCAAATATGATGCCTGAAGAAAGTTTCTCCTCTGTGAAGACCTCCAAATCGCCAATATTACTTTGAGGAAGGAAAAGCACAAAAGTCATTGAATCTCTGATAAGTGCCCTGGATTAGCTCAGTCTTCCTCTAGATCCCACTTGGAAATCCACTGGGAGATGGAATCATAGACCCTCCCCTTGGGAAAGAGCTCAGATTCAGGTGAGATAAAGTACAGACCTTTAAATGCCATTCTAAATTCTAAGGCTCTTACAAGGAATTTAGTAATAATAATTAAAAAGATATACAACCTGCCTGATAGTATTGTAGACATCAGGAGTTTGGGAGGAAAGGCACGCAAAGAACGGGGTGTGTTTGTGTGTGCACATGTACACATACACAGGCATGTGGGTACATGAATGCATGTGTGTGTATGTGATTCCCAGGTGGAGAGGTGAGCCTGTATCAGTGGTTCATAGCCCCAGGTGCACATTAAATAATGATGATGCCTAGGCATCATTTCCACATACTCTGATTTCATTGGTCCGGGGCTGGGCCCAAACATCAATATTTTTTTAAAAAGTTCCGCAGGTGGTGCTCGCTTCGGCAGCACATATACTAAAACTGGAACTATACAGAGAGGATTAGTATGGCCCCTGCGCAAGGATGACGCGCAAATTCGTGAAGCATTCCATATTTATAAACATTTTTTTAAAGAAAAATAAATAAAAATAAAAGTTCCCCAGGTGATTCAGTGCATAACCGAGCTGAGAATCACTGACCTAGAAGAAAGTCGGTCAGAAAAGGTGCAAGGGTGAAGCCTGATTAGCTGGAGGAAGAGGCAGAGACAGGATTCCTAAAGAAGAAGGGAATGAATAGGGAGGAGAAAGACAAGCATGTAACTCCTCTCTCCTGGGAGCTCCTGGATGGCCCCAAGGCCTGACCTGGAGATGGGACTGGCTCAGGTGTTGGCTTGTCTCCTCTGTGCTGTAAAAGCTCAAACCACTCCAAGGCAATGAGATGAACTGTCTCCCCACTGCAGTCCCTTGCGCAGGGAATGGGTGCAATGACCCTAAGGGGGTGCTGCTGCTCCCCTTTACCCAGAGGGTCCCCAGGGAGGCGGCTGTGGAAGGTAAACAGCAACAATGGTCCCTTTCAGTGTCCAGACTCCAACCCTTCAGTCCAATTAGCAGACACAGCAAACAGCAATTCAGCAGCCTTCAGCCGCTGTCATAACAAACTCAGAGCTGCCTTAATGGGGGGATTAGGGCAGGAGGAGGGGGGGGTGTCACTTTGGCCCTGGGAGAGCCTGAGTGGCAAGGAGGGGGTTCCCCCTTTTCTCTTATCTCTCCTATCTAAATATGCACCACCCACCCTTCCTTCCATAACTCTGCTCCTCATTCTCCTCAAAGCCCCAAGAATGTTTTTATAGTTTCGTTTGCCCCTTCCCTCCAGTGATTTGAAAGCGTTAACCTAAACTCATGATCTAGTCCTAGGGAAGTTGGCACACCCTGTGTCTGGATGAGGCAGTGTTATATGCCCCCCACCCCAGATCTCTGAGGTCTCAACAAAGGAAGGGAGGTGAAAAGGTTAATCCGTTCCCAGAACATTCAAGCGAAGGAAGGTGAAAAAATAAATAACCGGACCCCAATTTTCACACCTTGAAGGTGCAGACATAAAAAAGGACTTTGAGACATAGGGGCCCATGCATCTCAGGTGGGTTGCCAACCTTAGGAGTCGCATTGGGGACTGGGGAGATGCCGGTTTGTGAGGCAAAGGGAGAGAAGACATCCCTTCTTAAAGTCACTCAATTATGGAGACAAGTCTGCATTCTGACAGGCAGGTCTCTACAGGATTTGTAAATTACAGCCACTACCTAACTTGTCCTTTTATTTAATAAACTGTGTTTTTAGTTACTTAGAATCCAAGAGATTAATCGCATAAGCTTGAAACTATCATTTACACATTCTGTGTTTATCTATGTAAGTCAGTTACCGATCATAAGTGCTCTTACCAATAAGTCTTAATACCGTTAAGGAGAAAGAAAACAATAGCAATTCTGCCACGTGGACTCCAGCCTCTTCCCTTTATCAGACTTCCCAAGGACTGTGCCTCCTCTCCCAAGGCTTCAGACACTCCCTACCTAGGTCCCCAGGAGTCCCTCCTTGAGTCCCAAAGCTGGAAAAGGAGGAAATTCCTCAAGTTAAATATGGTGAGATCATCAGCCCGGACCATGCCAGAGAGGTGCCCTTTTTACATTCTGAAACCAATCACATGCTCTCAGTCTTTCCAAACTACAGCCTTTAACCTTTCTGCAATCTAAGAATTACCCTTTACCCATGAGTGTCATAACATAGTATATGATCTTTTATATAGAATTCTTCATTTTCGGCACACAATAACCCTAAGGGTTTCTTATCTTCATTATACACATATCTGAGATGAGGCTGGGAGATTTGTGTCACTGATAAATGGAGACACCCAAACCTTGGACCTTGGTTTGGTCCGATTTGTTCCTTCTGTTTCTGTCTCTCCCACGGCTTCCTGACTCGGGTGTTTCCTATGACTCTAAGTACTTATCAACAAAACCCTTTCCACGCCTGGAATTGGGTGGGAGGAGAATTTGTCCCAGAGTGAGGGTGTGGCTGGTAATGCAAAACTTGGGTCAAATATTTGGGAGAAAATTGCCTTTGGCCTCCTGGACCTAGAATTCAATAGAAGGGTATTAAAATCGGGGGCTGAGGAGAGAAATGAATAAAAAAAAAGCAGCTGAGAATTTGGTTTCCAGTAAAAATAGTAGATGTAACAATATCTGAAGCATAGAACTGAAAATTCTTAGACATAGGCAGAGGTGTGATTATACAAGAGAGGAAATTTCCTAACTGGTAACTGGGGAGGCCTTCCTGAGCCCCTTTTAACACGGCCTCCCTGCACCCCAGTCCCACAGTTCTCCTGTGGGGTTCAGTTGGAGGAGATTCGATCTGGCACAGAGCGGGTGGGGAGAACTCAGCGGTGCCACTGTGATGTCTGCATTTGGTAACCTCCTTCCATATCCAGGAGTGTCTGTTCCTAGAGTGGATTTATATCTATACATACGGCCAGGTGTCCCTAATGTCACGACCGAGCTTCCCACCCACCATAGAGGGACACATATCCAACCTCACACCAGGTCACACACCACTCAGTTTCTCATCCTCATAAGCAGACACACACAGCTCACAAACACAGTCACCCATCACTCTCCTGACAGCCCCACCCACACACCCACATGCACACACCATATGCTCACATAAGCCAGACACAAACCCTCACCCCCACATCCCTCCTGGGCTCTCTTCCCCCTTTCCACTGAGGTGCTGGTTTTGTAGGGTGTCAATTCTCAGCCCCTCAAGTTCCCTCTGTTCTCCTGAGGTAGGTCAAATGCGCTAATCAGAGACAATAATAATAATGTAAACCCATTGTGGTTACTGATACAGCTTCTAAGTCTCATGTGAATGAGCCTCAGTGGATCCCAAATACACATTTCCAGCAAGCTACATGAAAGGTTTTTGTTTTGTTTTGTTTCGTTTTTTTTTTTTTTTTTTTTTTTAAATAAAAGGAATCCTATCTTTCTTGGTGCTGCTTCTCTCATCCCAGCTCCCAGCCCCGGCTCACAGGCAGGGCTTTTCTCCTGGTGTGCCTTCCCTTCACTGCCCCATGCCCTCCCTTCTCAGCTCAACCTCATCTTATCCTCCCTGCTTCACTCTCTCTCCAGCTGTTCCCACGAGCAAGTTCAGTAGAAAAAGCAATGAGTTGGGTTAGGCTGGGTGGTAGCTTATGCCTATAATCCCAGCACTTTGGGAAGCCGAGGCGGGCAGATCATGAGGTCAAGATTGAGACCATCCTGGCCAACATGGCGAAACCCCCCCCCCCCAATCTTTACAAAAAAAAAAAAAATACAAAAATTAGCTGGATGTGGTGGCATATGTTTGTAGTCCCAGGTACTTGGGAGGATGAGGCAGGAGAATCACTTGAACCCGGGAGATGGAGGTTGCAGTGAGCTGGGAGTGTCACTGCACTCCAGCCTGGCAACAGAGTGAGACCCTGTCTCAGAAAAAAGAAAACGCACTGGGTTGGAAACCACTGAGTGACATTAGCAACTCATTTGAGTCTATGGTTCCCTCATCTATAAAATGGGGTCAATAACAACTATCTCACAGTGTTGAAAGAGCAAAGAAAGGGATGTAGGCCCAGTGCCCAGGGAGTACTGTTAGGAATTATTAGTCCTCCCCTAAAACCTGCTCTCTTCCTCCCTAATCCAGTCTCCACCTGCCCCTCCCCCAGAAGACCCAAATTCCAAATGGCTGAGAAAGTAAGAGGCTACTAATCTCTCCTTCCTCTAAATCTCTAAAGAAGACATACGTATTCCAGGCTCCCTGAAGCACAATTTTTTTGAGTTTGGATTCTCCAATATTTCTCCCACATAACATGTAATTGAATCATTATCTTCTAGCTATAAAATCAGGTCCTGGGAGGAAATTTTAAATTTACACAGGAAACTGGAGTCAGTCAAGGTCATTTTGTCCAGTTCTTCCACCCCCTTATTACTCCTTCCTGCCCCATGTCCTGGAAGGCCAGGTGCCGGCGTATGATGGGGAGCTGTAAGAAATGCAGAGGGGGCTACTTCCAGCTGCTTCTAGTCAACGTGGAATTGCATTTACTTCTATTCCACAAAGTGACTCTAGACTAGACTCCTTTCAACTGCACCTAAACACTGTTTCTCTTAAAATATTTAGGTCAAGCCAGATAAATGGATTCTTTTAGGAAAGGCCCTGATTAATCTCTCTAATTATTTGCTTTCTCTGGGCAGCATAGATACTAAGCTACAAATTCCTTTGTGTTTGAGATCCTCAGAGCTGCTCGAGGCCATTTGTTCTTGGAGATGATTTCCAAGAGTGAAGATAGGGGTGGGAAGACTCGGTGTCCTAAAAGGTC